AGTAGAAATATGGCAAGCATTCAAAAAATAAAGCTAGGTGTTTCTGACAATAGAAAAATCTGGGCTGGAATCGTAGCAGCTAAACGATGAGTGAAGACATTGAGGGTGAGCTGGGTGGTGGGCCGGTAGAGCAGAGGGCAGGCAATTACGAGTCTGGACAAGTAGGGAGGAGCCAGATCGTGGAGGGCCTTGCAAGCTTGGCAAATACACTCAAAGTTCACCTAGCAAATAATGAAGAGACCTGAACAAAGTTCTGAAAAGATCACACTAGAAATGAGGTGAAGGTTAAGAGAGAGTTGTTAGGGGTAGGACTTCAGTGAAGAGACTATTACAAAAGCCAGGGGAAAGACCAGAACTGAGATGCAGCTCAGGGGATGACAAGAAGAACATAGTTAGGAAGATACAGATACAGTGGAATGAAGTGTTGGTTACTGAGAAGAATGACTATAGAGATAATAGGTGGTATCCAGATATGAAATTTCTAAAACAGTAATCTCCCTCTAGCAATCCAGATGATATAGTCAGTCAATACAATTATTATTGATTTATATTTTATAATAATATCATATTAATTTATATTATAAAGAAATATGTATGACATTATATATCAGCACAAGAAAAATGGCATTCATAATTATTTGTTATTATTAAGGTACATTAGTACTAATATACATTGACATACTGGAATCGCTGGTAAGGATCTCTGGAATATAGTTAGACCATTAAAAACACCCTGAGGTGTTTGTCCATGATTTGATTTTCTTGGCTGAGATTGCTGTAAACTCAGTACATCAGTGGTATAATCATTGTCAAGCTCTGATTGACTCTCTGGTTCAAAAAGTGAATTCTTGCTTTATACTCTAGAAACCGTGCTATAAAGGCAGGCAGTGTCTGGACAGAGGACCGGGGAAGATGTCATCTGATTATGTAGTAAAGAACGGTGATAATGCTCACTGAAAGGGACTTCCACACCTCTGGAAGCATGACAAGAAGTGAACACTTAACAGAGAATGAACAGTAGAGAAAGGGTTGTATAACAGCTTATGCCTGGGAAGTTCAGTGCACTCACTGAATGGCCGTATGTGAGAAAAGAGGAAAGTGGGATATGGTGCATTAAAATCAAAACAAAACAAAACAAAAAATTCCCTCAAATGTAAAGGAAAAAATTAAGCTTCCTTTCTTTTTCCCTCCTTAATAATCAGGCTTGGATGTACTATGTGTGCGTGTCCTTGGCTGGGTTTATACCAAGTGAAAACAAAAATCTTACTAACCTAACTAACACTGATATCTTTAACACGATGACCTCAGGCCATAAAGGAAGAAACTATAATTGCAGAAGTGTTCTTATATTCGATAGTCATTTAGCTGATAAACAGTTATTCTAGGGGTCATTTAAGATGCTAACTCAACTAGAAAAACTCATGAGTCCAGTTCACTGTTTCCTTTTATAGCTCAAACATGAAGAAAGCACGTGAGGGTCTAAGCACTGTGATCTTACACAGAGGCAAATGACTATAATACTTATAATAGCAGGTCTTGTGCTAAGGACTAAGGACTTTGCTAATAATTCCATTTCTTTACGAGACCATAGGGGAAAGAAAAGAACAAGAGATAAATATAAACACTGAGATCTCATGAATTAACTGGAGGGAATGTTGCCAGGGCCACAATGCCAGGCTATAATTCTTTTCTTTTCTAACTAGAATTTTTGTAATTTCCTGACTCCATTTATGGTGGAAATGGCCTATTATTTTATTTTTCTAAACATTTAATGACTTGTGAAAATGCTTACAATATAATGATAACATGAAAAAGAAAAAGAATACTCAGGAAAGGCAGAAATATGCCAAGATTTTAATACAGAACTCACATTGCTTTTATTTTTCTAATAAGCATATGCTGTTTTATAATTAACAATTATCATTATATAATAAAAATATTTTATGGATAATATGTGTGTTATATATACTACATAATGAAAAGATTTTAAAATATATTTATTTTAAAATAAATTTCTAAAAGATAAATCGTAAAAAACAAATAAACAAACAAACAATCTGCATGTATTTTGGAAGAAATCTTCACCTTAATGTAAACCCCATACTTCAAATATTTTCTGTTCTATGTTGCATTTATAAACATAATAAAAATAGATAGCTGGTGCACATTTCAAAATAAGTACTATTATTCAAGAAGTGCTCAAATGAGTAACTATCTTCAGCTCACCATTTTAAAAAATGTTGTTATGTAAGTTTTCTAGTGAAATCTTTACATTTTTTGCAGTAACATAAATGAAAATATATAAATGAAGTAACATATATTAGACTGTAAATGGAATGATGAGAAAAGTAGCCTATTTAATAAAATTTCTGGACACTGTGTATAGACCATGCTTTAAAATCCATGATCTAAATACAATGTCCAGAAATTTCAGTGAATAGGCTCCTTCTCTCATCATCCATTTTATTCTAACATACCCGTTCATATATGAAATCACCCGCAAGTTCAAAGTGCAGATAACAGGAGTAATGGACTCACGGCTAGAAAGAGATTCAGAATCTCTATTTTTCCTAACACCACATCTTCTTTTCCATATTCTAGGGTTTAGTTCTCTCCAAAAGCCTCTACCTCCCTGGATAAGAATTTTTTTTTCAAGACAGAGTATTACTTTGTCACCCTAGGTAGAATGCCAGCCATAGAGTCATAGCTCACAGCAACCTCAAACTCTTGGGCTCAAGTGATCCTCTTGCCTCAGCCTGCTCAGTAGCTGGGACTACAGGTGCCCACCACAAGGCTCTGCTAGTATTTCTATTTTTAGTAGAGAGGGGATCTCATTCTTGCTCGGGCTGGTATTTAACTCCTAAGCTCAAGTGATCTACCCACTCAAGCAAGCCTCCCAGAGTGCTAGGATTACAGATGCGAGCCACCAGGCCAGGCCCCTGGGGAACAAATTTATATAACTTCCCTGTATATATATATATATATATTTTTTTTTTTTTTTTGAGACTTGGTAGAGTGTTGTGGCATCACAGCTCACAGTAACCTCAAACTCTTGGGTTTAAGCAATTCTCTTGCCTTAGCCTCCCAAGTAGCTAGGCCTACAGACACTCAACACAATGCCCAGCTAGTTTTTGATTGTAGTTGTCGTTGTTGTTTGGCAGGCCCACACTGGGTTCCAACTTGCCAGCTCCGGTGTATGTGGCTGGTGCCCTAGCTTCTGAGCTGCAGGCACTGAGCTGCTATATTTATCTTTCAATACGTTTATATGAATTACCACAAGTTAGGGAATACTTGGTCTCAGGGGAGGACATATAGAATCCTAGAGGAACTAAAATAGAGATACAAAGTACCAAAGTAAAATTGGATAATATTTTACAATTGTGATATATAAAGAGATATTGTGATGCTTGGACTTATCAATGGAAGTCTTAGAGTACAAAAGTATTAAGATTCTCCCGCTACCTATTGATTTACTTTTCCTAAAGCCATTCAGTAATGATATTGAACAACAAATAATAAGATATTTATACTGAAATAAGAGAATTATAAGGAAAACCAGAAAAATTATGTGGAAAAATATACTCTTTGTTATTATAACAATTTAAAGGATGGTATACATTATAATTTTAAAGAACAGCATTGTCATAAGTTTCAAAAGTTTGATTCACCATCTTTAAACTGGCTAATATGGATATAAGATATTCTCAAATTCTCGTAGGTTTTCTTGCTGAAAAAAGTAATTGTCATTTTTTTCCTCTAAAGAAGTTGATGGAAATACGCTATTTTTTTTCCTCCATACTCTCAATGAAGGCACTCAATTCATTTTCCAAATCTTGTAGGGGGAAAAGAAACATCACATTTGCCCATTATCTTGTTATAACACCCGAAACAAACTTTGAAGCCTCATTGAAGCAATTACGTAAACATCACATTCGTAACACACAAAGTTTTTCATTGTAAGGGCAGAGAATGTTTATGTTTATAAAGTCTCCATTTAGACGAATACTCATTAAAAGTAGGTGGTAAGGACCTGCGAAATGTAAATACAGCCCAAGTGCTGAGTTATTTTCCAAACTATAGAAATAATTTGTTCTGTAGAAATTGAGTTTAATGATAATGTATAAGGCATTTATAATTTGTTTTAAAAGTATAGTATAAACCTACTGATCTGTTAAGGTAGCCTGTAGCCATATTTGTCTACTCAGCAAATATTACTAAATTTGGCTAGACTGAATTATTTTTGGTGTAAAATACACACCAACATGAGTAGAAAGAAGAATACAAAATATCTCATTAATAATTTTTATATCAATTACCTATTTAAAGAATAGTATTTTTTATTTAGTGAGTTAGATAAAAAAAAATTAACAACACTGAATTTTACCTGTCTTCTGGGGGGTATATTTTATAGACAACTAGTAGGAAATTTAAAATTGGGTGCATGCCTTGTATTTTATTTTCCTTGGCAGCATTGGCATAAACAACTAACACTGTATAAAAATGTACCCTCTTTTATAGGTATTCATTAATACAGTCCTAGGTTTAAACTAGGACTTGAAAAAGACAAATGTGATTATTCATCAGCCTTGAGCTTTAAAGAGTGAGTCAGCTACAGGGAGATTTTTGTGTGATGTGAGTCATTCACATAACAACAGATATCAGAAACCATCATGATGAAGAGTAACCATTTACTGGCAGGTAAGATCAGAATTAATTCAGTCTCTCCTTTCTTCTATATACGTCAATGATTAACTGTAGAGAAATTCCTACATTATATGCACTGGTGATACTTGTAATGCTTTTTGAGATATTTGGATTAAAATACAAATTGGTCATATACAATTGATTGAAAAAATTGTTAATAGAGTTATTTCCATAGTAGTTTTGATATTATGCATTTAATGTGAAATAATTAAACTGAAATCTGGACCCAGAGGATTTAACATTTATGCGATACTATTTAGAAACACACAAACTGATCTTAAAGTGGGTGTCCATACCGTCATAAATCCATCCAGCAAACCTGAGTCAGGTTTCGGAGGTGCCTGCAACCGTTCCATGGACCACTTTTCGATGATGGAGGAGACCTGGGTGTTTTCCGTGTTTAATATTCTGAATCCTGTCATATTAACACCACTGTATCGGTAGGGCTCTACATCAAGAGCGAAGAGGTCCTAGAAGGCAAATTTGTTTGTGTTATTATCAGCAGAGTATATTCTTAGGCACATATTATTGAAGTAGTCGCTTACTCTTGCTTATCTTAAGTTGCTTAGCATTGTTGTGTCTCAAGTGATCACTAATGCACAGCCCTCATGGTTTGGTAATTCAAATGTACATGCTCTGAACACAGACATGATCGTATACATCACAGTCTAAGTCCGCCAGTGGAATAACATGCCCTTGATGACTTACACTGAAGATTTGCCTTAGCTTTCTTCTCCCCCTTAAGGCTAGTTTAAATTTTATGTGTTCGTATTTTATTTTAAAGTACCAAAGTTTTTTTTTTTTTTTTATGTCTTGCTTCTTTGATCAGTTAATGCCATTTCTTGGTTTTGTTTTACCAGGTATTTTTGTTTTGTTTTGTTTTTAAGAAGCAGGTCACAAAATACAGCTTCTAACTGATGGAAACTACATGAAAGCTGAGGAGGGGGAAGTAAGGAATATTAGCATTTTGGGTTGCAGAAACCTTACACTTCGCCATAACAAATACCTTATTCTGTCGCCCTTTCTAGTCTGTATATAGCCAATGTTCTTGCTCTGCCCTCTGGTTTCCCCAGGAGATAAGAGGCCAAAGCTATTATCTGTGATGGGAGTTGGATATCACCAGGAGAATATGGGGCATGTGGGACTTTTGCTCTCTTTCTAGATGGCATAACTGACCCTGAGGTTTTTATGGACAGTATTGAGAAGGAGGCAAGATTAACGCCACAGGTCCTGTGCATGGCTTGCTTCAAACTCATATACAGCTACACAGGCAAGATGACAGAAGTATCATTTAGTAGAAAGCAGCTAACATTGGCCTGGGCTATGCTCTGTGCTATGAAAAATACAAGGAATCTTTCAGTTTTTATTTTTCCATGTTTATAATCTAGCCAAGGAGATAGGCTATAGCTACAAGATAAATAAATAATACAGGGCAATATATGCCAAGAGGTAAAAGAACAGAAATAATAAAGGCAATAAATGCAATTCATTTTTAAATGGTGACTAGAGCTTACAACATAAGAATTTGTGCTTTTCTAACACACTGATTTCTCAGCAAACAGAAACAAGGCAGCTAACTTTCAATTTTTATAGTCAGGAAAACTTCACAGAGCACAGGGGATCTTAGATGTGGTGGCACTCAGACTGTGTACTCCAAATATGGTATATACTGAGTATGTTAAGCTGAAGGAAAGTGAGAAAAACATAACTATAGGGAGTGCACTCACTGACCTTCTCCCACCTTTTCCCCTGGAAGCAGGCCATAAAATAATTCCCTGACCTGCCTTCACTGAAAGAAGGTCATAAGACTGTCATTTCAGAGGGTCCCTACCCTATACCTGGAGGCCAAGAATAATCTAAACAGCCGGTTCTTGGTAAGCGCCTCCCATCCCATTTATTGCCATTAGATCATACCCCTTTCATCCATAGTATTTCTAAATAACTGCCCACTCTTTATCAAACCAAAACATAAAGACAGACAGATGTCCTTGTTTCTTTGTTTCTTAAGGGTCCTGTGTCACATAAAATTTATATTAAAAATGTACACACTTTTGTCTTGTTAATTTGTCTTTGTGGTAAGGGTCTCAGCTATGAACCTCAAGACTAGTCAGGAAAAGAAATCTTTTCTCCCCTACAGCTGCCATTAAAGAATGACCAGGCTATTGACAGGTAAAAAAAGCATTCAAAATGTGAATAAAGACAAAAATTAGAAAATATAAAACCAATTAAAAACACTCATCTACCTCGGTTTGTTTGTAAAAGAGAGTTCCTCAAGGGGAAGAGTAGCAAAAGAAAAACAGAAAAGTTTGGTTGGAATCAAAGTTTAAAAGGCTTTCAATTACAGAGTAATGAGGTGTATTTATCCTAACCTACATTTTTATTCCTTTTCCTTATTTAGAGATATTTTGAGCTGTAGCAACAATGAAATATGATTTACTGTGAGTGAAAGTTCTCATTCTTTTTCCACCTGCTTGTCACCAAGTTTCATACAAGCTGCAAAGTGTCACCTAGCAGGAAGTATAACAATGTACCAGATTCCAGCGTGGGTATTTAACAGTGAAATACAACCTATTCCATGAGGAATCTCCGTGGGGGAAAAGAGTTGGCATCACAGGAATCTATTATAATCAATTAAATTTTGTAATTTGATATGGTGGCTTCTAGACTTCTAGATCAAGGAGACTAACCAAAGCTTTTGACTTAACAGAGAATGAATTGGCTAGACTGGTCATTGTAAGAGCAGAGAAGATAGATGATATAGATACTGCAGAAAAAAGTTAGTAGCATTTTGTTGGTGATAGAAAAGTTACAGAAAATGGAATTTTTAAAGACAATCAGAAGAGGAGTCAATTTAGAGTACAATAAATTAAGGTTTAAATATTTTTAAATTATCTGAGCACTACAATAATTAGAGTTGCTCTGTAGCATATGTTCAGGAATACAACATGTGGACATTACACTTCATTTGAACAAAGGTAATAATTGGAGCTGTAAGTACAAACCAGTTTGAAGAAAATAAATGAAGAGAAAATAATAAAATAGGATGAAGTCTAAACTTGGAGATAGTCTTACATTTCGGATGAGCAAGTAAAAATTGGAGAAAGCTGTTTCCCAGAGGGAGAGCAACCAGGCCATTATCATATTTAATGTATTGATAAAGAAACAGAGCTACAAGTAAGCAGAGTTGATAAAAGATCACAGGCAGATTTTCAATATAAGGAGGAAAAATTGGGCGTTGGGTATGTGATGACAAAACACAAAGGTAATAATAGAATTATTGAAATAAATAGAAATAATAGAATAATCAATTTCTAATGACAAATTAAGGCATATTAACTTTAAAGATCTAACTAAATGTTGACAAACACAGGATAGAAAAATTAATCTTTTTTTGTTTTATTGGAGGGCAGCTTCAAAAAAACTGATTTTTAAAAAGGGAATAGAGCTAACGATATAAGAATTTGTGCTTCTGTAAAACATTGATTTCTTAGCAAACTAATTTCAAAATCCATTTTATTCAGAAACTTCCCTAAAGCAATTTAAAAATAAGATACATAACATTTTGAATTGATACCTGAAGTGATATTATTTTAAAATCATCAGCTTCCCACCAAGCAGTTCTCTGATAATTTTTTTCTGTATTTTATAAACATAGAGTATAACTACAAAAATGCAATTCGTTACATAACTTTTCACTCAAAACCTTCTTTTTCACTTGAAAAAGGTCATAATAATAAAACTTAGAAGATTATCTTTATGGTTTAATAAATTACTTACCAGAGTAGTAAAAATATAATGATAGTATTCTGTCATCATCCCCATAGCTAATGCCTAAGAAATAAAAAATAAAAAATATTACTGAAGGTACACGTTATATGGAATACATTATGTTGATAAGTGAGAACAAAATGGCAAGATGTCATAAAGAATCGACCTACAATATTCGTGTTATATCAAGATTGAGATAAGCTAAATCTTTTCCCAATAGTTAAAGAAGATTAGTGGTTCCTGAAAGAATTTCTGAACCAGTTCTCTAGATCGAAACAGCATTAGTTGAATGTTTGCAATTATAAAGCTTATAGCTTTACACATTAAAGAAGGTATTACATTTGCCAGAAAACCTGAAATTAGTACATCTTAGTTCATTATATTTGTAATGTCTTCACTACAAATACTATAATGAGGAGCGTCATTTCATTTTTATGAACAATTATTCAATTAGGAAAAAAGTATTACAGAGTACATGCCAACAGATCTTTTTTTGCTTTTATCATTTTAGAGACATTTCTTAGCATTAAAGAAAGGAATACAAATCACCATTACCACTGAAAAAAGTATAATTAAAAAGGATTTCTCAACAAACAATAAATAAACTGAACCATTAATACACTCCTCCACACTCCTCGTCAATTTTATCAATCTTAAAATAAGGACTTTTAAATTAGAACTTCTAGTGACAAATGTTATTTCTTCTGAAAATAGAAAATGCTTCTGAAATAACTGTTTATCAATAGGTAGCAGTTGGCAATGGGGATTGAAAAATGATTCCTTTTTGAACTGAATGAAGAGTTTAGTAGTAAACAATTATTCCCAATCACATCTATTAATAGTCTTCCCCAAACCACTAACTACACAAACTACACAAACCGTTTAATGAGTAGCCATCCCAGGCACATCCTATGTATTCCATGTACAAAAACCCATCATGCTCATAGGTCAGCATCACTGAATAGGCAGCATAAAATTTATAGTTCTACAGTATGAGTTGTTCAATTAAAAAGGAAGGAATAAGTCTGAAAAAATTTGGAATATATAAAATACCTAAAGGAAGGGAGAAATGCTGGTTAATGAAAGTGGACATCGAAGAGTAGAGCAGAGGGAGGAATCTTAGGAATCAAATTATCAAATAATCTTTCTCAAATGGGTAATAAACTCCTAAGCCAACAACATCTTGAGGAAGTTTTCATCTTCAGCAAAATAAGACAAAATTTTTCTTATTAAAAGTAAAAAACTTACAAGGTTATCACTATGGAAAGCATTCGTGGTTCCTGATAAATATGGGCAGAAGGCTTCCTATCTCCAGAACCACCCAACAGCAGCTCAGTATATTTTTGTCCATACTTTTTTTTTTTAGAAATAGAGGTAAAGGTAATTAAACGAAATAGTGATTCAGATGTATGACTATAAATAACACTTATATAATGCCTGAAAACGTGTTACATACTATTTTAAGCACATTGCATATTTAAGCATTATAAAAACCCTATGAAGTAAGTCCTATTATTATGTTCATTTTATAGGTGAGGAAAACTAGAATATAATAAAAATGAATAAATTTCCCATGTGAGACAGTGGGTAAGCATAGACTCCACATCTCCAACTCTAGGAGAGTTTGGATTAGAACAAAACTTATGCCATTTTTATTTTAGAATCTGTGCAGTCTAAAATGTTTGCCTTTGTTCTCCTTGAGGATTTGAAAACGTGGATATCTCTGGCCAGTGCATAAAAGTGTGCACTGATGGAGGGTTGGGAGGGAGTTGAGGAGGCAGCAGAAGGGGGAAGAGAGGGTGGTTTGGTTTTGGACGTGTGTATTCTACTCTTCTACTCTGGCTATGAGTTTCTTCTTCATCACCTTAGGAAGAAATCTACAAAAGATAACCGGGGTCTGTTTGTGGCTTTCATTGACTTTCTCTCAGCCTTTGATTGTGAAAGCAAGAATCAGGTGCTATGATGTATGATCTAGAGAAAGTTAAAAATAGAATAGAAAGAGCTAGTTATTTTTGATTAAGTATCTACACTGTAACCTTACTTCTTTGATGAAAAACAGAAATTTCTCTTGAAAGGTTAGTTAATAGTTTTCAGTCAGATTTTTTAAAATATAACATTTGCTCTAGACCTTCTTTTAATTATATCATACCTTGCTGCTACTTTGACTGAATTGTGTGCACACCTCAAACTGCATTAAAGAGAATAAAATTAGTATCTTCTTAAGTACAAATAATGAGTGGCTTCAATAGAAAATTGGTCATAATCATCTCTCTTAGAAATAACAGAGATTAATGTCTATAAAATCCAATTTTATAAATCTTTAACATTAAACTGGTGCAGTGCTAACAATGCTATATGACAAATTAATACATACAGTTATCTAAGTATTCAATCTGCAACCAGTTTATCTTTCAAGTTATCACTCAGGGCTAACAATGAGGGGGAAGGGTTCTATATATATTTCTTCAGTTTTATTTTATTTTACTTCTTGCTGCTATGGGAGTTTATTTGCATCTGTTTTTTTTTTTTTTCATTTTTCTAGGTTAAAAGTTGGGTTTTTAATTTTACACTCTCTGATGTAAACCTTGAAGTCCTTGATCACTATTATTTCTCTATAATAAAATGTCCTTTTAAAGTTTGCCTCTGAGCACCCTGGCTCTTCCCTACAGTATTCTCTTTGATGCATCTGGATGTAGGTGGAATTGAGGTACGAACATCAATTAGTGCACTTTCCTTGCCTCGGAGCAAATCTAGTCAGCCAAAAATGCCATCGCTTTTAAAGCTGTTGGACAGGAAAACTCCAAATTCACTGTCATTCAATATTAAAATGTCACTTTAGGTAAATAAATTTAAATGAATTAAATAAACAAATAAACAAGTAAGTATAACCCAATAAGGCCTTTCCTTTTTCTGGAGAATCCTAATATGCATTCTTGAATGAAGTCAGATAAGCTGAAAGCTCATGTATTTTTGCTCTCCAACTCCTATACTATACCTTGGAGCTTCAACATTACCCAATGCCGAGGAATCTCAGAAAAAATATGTATGCATCATAAACTAGATACCTATTAGTTGTACTGCTGCCCCTACTAGAAGGAAACGATTTGTTTTCTTCCTGAATTGGTTTCTAGAATAACTGAGAAAGTCAAATGTGAGACAAATGCTTGCTAGGACCAAGTAAATTAAAAATACCACCATGTATATAGCAAGCCAGTATCACGTGCCTCTGAGGATACGTTCTGCACAATGTCACTGTGACTTGCTTTAACTTTTATGTTCTCATTTTACCTTTCCTGTAATATTTCATCTACTAAACTTATTAAAACTATGTATTTTTCTCTGTTATATATATTAAATAGTATCTTAGTCCAGTTTTATTTTTCAAATTGAGCAGATTACACATATGAAAGCAAATATAAATAATAGATCTATCCGAAAGAAAGCAGAATGCAAATTCTATTATTAAAGATGATGGGCAGAGCAAGATAGTAGACTAGAAATTTCTCCTTACTATCCACTCATGATAAGGAAGAGGAAAGAAAATTCCAACCACCTCTAGGTGGGGGAACCCACCCAGGGATATCACTCCAGGGGCATGGTGAAGCAGTGGTGGACTACAGGAGTCAGTAAGGAGGTCTGGAGCTAAGGAAAACCAGAACAGAGGTGAGTGCTTGCAAATGGGGAGTAGACAGCCAGCCCACCCAGAGGACTGGGAACAGGAAAGAACTGTCCTGCAGTATTTTGATTTTGAGCTAATCCTACCCACTGGAGAAGCCTTGGAAAGTTTAATTGGGTGTGTGGACTCTAATAGCCAGCAACCAAGATTGAATCCTGGGTGGGGTAGATCTCCCATTGGCTTGGATGCTAGCTGGGTGCTGCCATTGTGGGAAGAGCATGTTGGAGAAACAGTCCACAGGGTTTAATGCATAGCGGGTTCTGGCGAACTTGCCAAGATTGGGCACCCACCTTTGGAGTGAGCTGAGGCTCCCCAGTAATTGTTGGCAGGGGACACCATGTGATGCGCCTCCTCACAAATCTGACAGAGCCCCCAGTTCTGCAGAGACTATATGCTGATGAAGCAAACAGACCCTGATTGAGGGCGATTAAAGTCAAGAAGACAGGACCTGATCTTCTCCATAACTCAGAGAGTGGCTTCCACTCTAATTTTTCACTGCAAAACAGTGTATGTTCTCCATCTCCTAACACCATAGTGCCACCTGATGTCCAGGCAATATATCAATATATTGCTACACACACACACACACACACACACACACACATATATATATATATATTTGGTAATATCATTTTTACTTTTATGAAGAGCAAGGAAGGGCTTCTCCATTTTTGCTACAGTCCTGGAGCTGCAGGTACAGCCAGGTGAACAACACCTGGATCCTGCCAAACAACACCTGCATCTTGCAGAACAACACTATTTCTCCTGTTACTCTCTTTCTTTTCTTATACTCCCTACTTTCCTTTTTTATTTTATTATTCTCTTCTTTCTCCCTGATTTTTACTCTTCCTTTTGGCCTTAAGCCAAAAGTACACTTCATCACCTTAGATCTGAGACAAGGTAATTTAAAGTGAAGGAGGCAGTGAGAAGGAAAAAGTAGGGAAAAGAAGTGAATAAGAAAAAAGCATACATGAGAAGGAACCAACAGAAAAATTCTGGCAACATTAAAAACCAAATAGTGCAACCCAGGGGACCATGAGGTACCTACAGCAGAGGATTCTGCCTATAAAGAATTATCTTTGATAAACCAAATAAAGGCATACACTGGGGAAAAGAATCCCTATTCAGTAAATGGTGCTAAGAGAACTGTATAACCACATGTAAGAGGCTGAAACTCGACCCACATCTTTTACCACTTAGAAAAACAAATTCAAGATGGCTAAAAGATGTAAATCTAAGACATGAAATGCTAAAAATCCCAGAAAAAAGTTTGAGAAAAATTGTTGAGAATGTATGCTTGGGGAAAGATTTTATGAAGAAGACTGCACTTCCTTTATGAGAAGACTCAATTTATAATAGCCAAGATGTGCAAACAAGCTAAATGTCCATCGACCCAGGAATGGATTAACAAGCTGTGGTGTATGTATACCACGGAATACTATTCAGCCATAAAAAGATGGTTACTTAGCATCTTTTGTATTAACCTGGATAGAGCTGAAACACATTCTTCTTAGAAAAGTATCACAAGAATGGAAAACCATATATCCAATGTACTTAATCCTAATATGAAGCCAGAGGATGATCTAATTCCTGCCCACAGAGGAGAAAAACTCATTTCAATTCAGGTTATAGGAAAGGGGGAGTCAAAGAGGGGTTTGGGTGTTCCCACTTAAGAGGTACAATGCAGGGGTGTGTGGCATAACTTTTGTGTGGAGAACACAACTATAAGAGTAGTTATAGTAGTCAGGGTTAGCTTCTTATTAAAAAAAAAGCTAATAATTTATTTTCATATATTTTGCGAGAGAAAAAAACAACAACAAAGCATCTCTGTAAATGAAATGACAGAGCTCTGCTGATTCCAAGAGTAAAGGAAAGAACTCTAGTCCCAGTCTGTGTATCCTGCATGTGATCAAGAATCATATTAAAAACAAATCCCGACTTTAGATTAGCTGTTATTTTAAAGGATCATTTTATTCATTACCAAAAAACCCCCAATCACTGGTATGCTTCAGTACCCTAATATAAAACTAGAGGAGTTTTCCAAGTCCAATTAAATATTTTAATACTAAAACTAACATTCATATTAAAATATTGGCCAAACATCTGCTTAATAAACTAACTATGTTACTATACATTTATTATTGGTGGTTACAATTAATGAAATATAATTGACATCTGAATCTATATAACTCCCTATAAGAAATATTTTATCCTATATATGATAGGTTTCAAAACAATTGACTAGTCTAAAGCCACTGTATTGCCAGCCAAGTGCCCATAAGGGAGTTCTATAAAACAAAATCCAAAAGACTGAGTTAAAATCCAGGCTCTACTATATGAAGTGTAAGACCTTATACTGGTCATTTAACCTCTAATTTCACTTCCTTTATCTATAAGCTATGGACTAATAACAATTTCTGTTACCCAGTATGTCTGAAGAATGTTGATATAATACTAAGAGCTTTTACTGCTACAAATCATTTTGTTTGATTTAGAAGTATCTTTTCAGGGAGGCAATGCCTTATTTTGGAACGAATACTTATTAACATTATTAGACTATCTATGAATCCTTCTGTTATTTTCTTGGTACCTGACACTGGTCAAGTTACTCAATTGTTCTGGGACTTGGTTTCTTTGTCTGTAAAGTGGAGACAAACCCTACTTCTTTTGGTTGCGTTGATGATGAAATAAGATCACAAATGTAAGCTGTCTTGCAATAGATAACAAGTAAATGGTAGGCCTATTATAACTTTTTACTGCTGGTTGATAGTAGTAGATGAGCTGCTCCATAGCTGACTCTGTTTCTTTCTCTTTTTTAGTCAGTAAAAAATAGAAATAACCATATATTTAATGAATACTATCATTTACAAACATATTGTAACCACTTGAAAATAACCTCAAACTTCAAGATAAGATCACCAATATTTATACTACTTTTCTTTTTAGACAGCTAATTAAAAGCAATTTTCAGACTTTCTATTATTATCTCTCTGAGTTTTAAAAATTGAGCAATAACATTAACATTTTGAATTAAAAAAAACATACTTTATGTGCAAGTTTATGGAGAAACTAAGAACTGAAGTAAAGACTAAGTAAAAATTACCTGTTTTAAAATGCCTGCTGCCATTTCATGGCTACAATCAAAGATGACATGGAACTCTTTGCCTCTTTTCATTTCTTTTAGTAAGGGTTTTGCATCCTTTGTATCAGCAGGTAGTTGACGGATTTTAAGTCGAAGGTTGTACCTTGATGGAGCTTTAATAAGTTCTTGCAAACGAATGAGACCTTTAATTGAGAAGGAAAAATACCACATATATTAGAGAGACAACCGAGTGGGTCACAGACTCGCAGAACACTCATTACTTGGCATGATTTTCATGACCTTGTTATCTTGGTGCAACCACTGAAATTCCTATTTTGGCAGAACTTCCAGATCCTTCGTTAATTTTGTTAAAATAATCATTTCAAATTCCTTAAGGTATTTTACTACTTATGAAAGAAATACATGACTAAAAGTTAATATAAAATTTAAATATATGAAGTACAATAATCTACCTGTACACTTCTATTTTACTCCCCTGTGGGTGATCACTATTAAAATGGCTTGAAATGTTGTCCTTCCAGAACATTTTCTGTGCATTTACAATATAGTTTTATTTAGTTTTATAACTGTTTGTGACTATGTCTTAGAAGTCCTCTAAGTATATGATTTTTATTCCAGTTTCTCTTTAAAGAACACCATCTTTTATCATGCATTTATGTTAATAACCATTATTAGTAACTCAGGTTACTTCCTTTTTATATTCATCTACCAGTAATGGTTTTGTGAATAACTTGCACGTGCAATTTGATGTATGTGTAAGAATAACATAACTTTCCTTAATAAAATAGGCTTTAAATAGCCTGAGCTATAATTAATTACTTTAGGAAATAAAATTAATTTTTGTACCTTTTTCTGAGCGTAACATTAAATTTAGCAGTAAATATTACTCCAGACATTAATAATGTAAACATTCTTTTACAGAAGTAGTTTCTGATTATGTTTCAAAATATATCAAATTAATGAATATATTTTGAATAAGTCATAAAAATGTGATGCATTTTAAAATACCAGATACAAATCATTAAGTTTATTCATTTATATAATCTTCAATTAATTTAATTAATTTAAGAATTGATTTAAACAACCCACTATACAAAAGAGTATGAAAACAATGGACCATTCACTTCCATTATAGATTACATCAAATTAAGCAATTCCCTTTATTTCCTTCTATTATTTCTTCGTATTTATCTTCCTTTTTTCCCATCTTATCTCTGTATTTCTCTGTTTCAACCTCCGAAAAACTACCTTCATCCGTATTAGTATGACAATAATAAAGCAAAATATTTATAAATAATTAATCTCAAATTCTCTATGTGTGTGTGTGCGTGCACACACACACACACTTAACTGTACTTGGAAACAGAAATAAAAATATACCTTATTAGGTTTAAAAATTTACTGTGTATTAAATATCATAAGAGATGTTGAGAATAAAAATCTAATCTAAGGAATTTTTAGTTCAATTTTATAAATAAATAAAAGATTCTTATATGCAATGTCACATGAATATATGTGACAAGATGAATAATAACCTACAACTTGAATAATTTTCAGTATTTTTACCCTCAAATAAGAGGCACAATTTAAAAAATACATGAATTCATCAACAGAGTAACAAGACAATGTACAGAATGGAAGAATATTTGAAAGTTATATACCTGGCAGTAGTTAATATCCAGAATATACAAGAAATTCAAACAACTGAGTAACAAAAAAAAAATCCAATTAAGAAATGAACAAAAGACACTAGTAGACATTTTTCAAAAGAAGACACACAAATGGACAACAGGTATATGGAAAAATGGTCAACATCAGTAATTATCAAGGAAATTAAAACTACAATGAGATATTACCTCACTCCAGTTACAGTGGCTATTACCAAAAAGAAAAAGAAAGATAATAGTGTTGGCAAGTATGTGGAGAACAGGGAACCCTTATATACTGTTAGTGTTATTAAAAATTATTAGTGCAACTATTATAGAACACTTTATGAAATTTCCTCCACTGCTGGGTATATAGCCCAAAAAAAAAAAAAATGACTTTATCAAAGAGATGCCTGGACTTCCCTGCCTAACACAGCACTAGTCACAATAGCTAAGATGTAGAATCAATCCCTATGTATAGACTCAACTTGTGTTCAAAAATGGATGAATAGATAAACAAACTCTGAGTGTGTGTGTGTGTGCGTATGTGTGTGTATTACATAAAGAATGAAATCCTGTAATTTCCTGCCATTTGCAACAATATGGGTAAACCTGGAGGACATTATATTAAGTAAAGTAAGCCAGCCACAGAAAAATATATACATGTTCTCACTCATCTATGAAATCTAAAAAAACGTGAACTCATAAAAGTAGTGAACAAAGCAGTGGTTACTAGAGACTGGGAAGGGGCAGGTGAAGCAGGAGATGGAAAGAGGATGGTCGGTTGATACAAAGTTATAGTAAGGAAGGAAGAGTAAGTGCTGGTGTCTTCCTGAACAGAAGGGACTACAGTCAACAATTAAGAGTCTGATATATCTCAAAATAGCTGGAAGACACAATTTTACATATTCCCATCACAAAGAAATAATACATGTTGAGATGAAAGATAAGCTAATTACCTTGATTTGATCATAACCTAATGTATACATGTATCAGAAAAGTACATTGTTCCTCACAAATATGTACAATTATGTATCATTAAAAAGTAATAAAAAATATGTGATTTCACAAACATGTGTATACTTAGTATGTTTTGCTTAAAAAACATTGTCCCATAAAATTTACTTCATTGTAAGTCAGTTTAGAATTTCAACATTTAAAATCATTCACATAACAATTGCATAAATTGTACAATATAATACTATTGTGACTTTTTTTTTTACAAATTGAAGTATTTACTAACCATAGCAAAATAAATGGTACATAAGTAACTGATACTAAATTTATCCATTAAACATACTACAACTGATTCTAGGGAATCAAAATGTGTTTAATGAGTATAAGTGTTGACACGGAGCTACACAAAAGTGAAAATAAATATTTGAATTGGAACACCTGCTTAAGCATAGGAGTGTTTAATGAGATATGACTTTGACCAAGACATATCAATATATTGAAAGCTGTACATTTTTGGTTTTTTTGCAAAAGGGAGTTCTCTGCTATTAAATTAGAATAAATTCTAAAAGTTGGTAATATTGCTTAACTACGTTTTATAAACAAACAAAGGTATTCTAGTAAGGCAGTGGTTCCTTAACTTTGAAAGGTATTACAGTAATCTGTGGAGCTGGTGATAATTTAAACAACTGATTGAGGATCTTGAGATAGTACTTATTATACATGTATATTTTTAATAATTTTCCTAGGTGATAAATTTCCTGGTCATAAAAAGAATGAAGGCAATTTCCCAAGATAAGTCTGGTTTTAAGTAACTGTCATATAACAGCTTGTTTATGAACCACCTTGGCATAGCAGGCATAGAGGACAGTAACTATATTGTAATAACTAGTAACAGAAGACAATAAATTAATTCAGAGGATGATTCCCAACTTCACAAAGAAAAATGAGTCAGAAAACCATAAATACAACTGACTACGGGAAGAAAGGAGGAAGAACAATGTTCATTTACTCTTGTACCTAACAAATATGTATTAAATTCCTCTTGTAGAGCAATCATGATGTTGGGTGTACAATGAAAGACAAAAGTAGACAATGTTCCTGCGCATACGACACTAAAAATATACAGGGAATAAAATGTTATTACAAATGAAGATGGTCGAATAATATTTTGGTAGAAAAGTACAGATTGTTGAAGACATCTAAAGGGATCATCTAACAAAAATGGAAGGATTCAGGGAAATTATCACAGAAGAGATGACATTTAAATCAATCCCAGAATAAATTTTTAAAAAAGAAAGAGTGGAAGGAACAGGTAGAATAAGTAACAGTTTTATGTACTGACACGGAGGTGAAGGAGGGGGCCAAAAAATACTAAGAAGCAAGAAGAACTAATTACAAGTGCAGTTGAGGAAGTGGGTATGGGGCTGCTTAAGAAGCCCTTGTGAGATATCTGAAAGGGTTGAAGCTTTAAAATAAGAGCTGTGGGAAGCACCAACTTGGAATCTGTATTTCAGAAGAATCACTCCAATATTATGGAGGACAGACCAGAAAAGCTAAAACTACAGAAATGTAAGATGTGTATTCAGCGCAAGAAAGCAAATGTGTAAGACTTGTTAATTTAGATTATACCTTACAAAATGTGTAAGACTTGTTAATTTAGATTATACCTTACAAAATGTGTAAGACTTGTTAATTTAGATTATACCTTAATTTTTTTATTCTAAATGTTTATCGTTCTCATAAAATTATTGCTATAAATGCAGGCTCATCAAAAAGCAGCCTTGACTGAATAAAGAAAATAAACCTACTTTTGGCTGACTTACTTCACAGAATTCTGTGCGAATCAAATGTAAATTTGGGGAATTTAGTGTATCATAGCAGAGGGTTGGCTTTGAAATAGTTCAAAAATCTATTATCTGTGGTATTGTGTAAAGTATTTTATTCCTCTCAGCTTTGATTTCTTCTTCTTTGTAGTAGGGTAAAATCATCTATGTATTAACCTGTAAAATACCAAAAAATTAAACTGGCACTACATTAGACTCACCATAAGTGGCCTGACATTGTTGGTATATTGGTCTACATGGGAAGAAAGTCATATTTTAAAAAAACATGTTGGTAACTGTGTATGTTGTTGGAAGACAACCACTTGATGGTTATTAAGATAGAAGATCTAACATCTAAATTTAAAATAATATTTTAAGGGATTAACTCATTACCACAGGAAAAGGAGTTATATACTCACAAATTAGTCCAGCAGTTGTGAACTGAACAAGCTTGACTGACTAGAAATTTTCTGAAGGCTGAGATTCATAAATAGTATCTGTAGACTTCATCCTAAGTATAAATACTGCCAAGTATTTCAAGTCTTTTAAGAGCTCAGGTGGATAGGCCGTTGAGCCATCAGGTACAATAAATGTTTACTTATTCTTCTCACACATATGCATCCCTGCTGACACTAATGTAACAGATTCCAGTTGCCAGGTTCCCTGGGGAATAATATTGAAGAGTAAAAAAGTTAAGAAAAATCCTGCTGCTACCGATGCTTCCATCTTCTACTTGAGAATGTGAGTGAAATTTTG